TATTTTCGTAGTTTAGGTTGGGTAGTCAGATGTGGAATGAAATTCGGTGTTGATTATGGTATGTGCGTGAGTTTGTATGTGGATGATGTAAATGAATTATGGATGCAAAGAAAATTATCAAGTTAGTTATTTATATATCACATATTTGTATTTATATTTATATTTATATTTATATTTACTATTTATATTAATTATTGATAATATAGAACATAACAAAACATCTTCAGATCAAAAAACTTCTACTACACCTACAAATGAAACTGATGCAATATTGTCATGCCCAATGTGTTTTACCATACTAAGTTATCAAACACAAAAGTACAAATTAATCATTTTTGTTTTTTTTTTGCCAAATTATTTAATATACATATTTATAGTTATATGATTTTATATATTTTATAGACATGAATTATATTCAAATCAATACCGAGCAATATTTGTGGAAAATTGTAAAGTCAATTATTTAGAGAAACTGGTTTATAAAGAAGACACGGAAAGTAAAAAATCCAAGAAAAAAATAAACAAACAGAACAAAGCAATAGATGATGAAAAAGTTGATAAATCAACACAAACATCAGAATTAAATAATAGTAATAATAGTAGTACTACGACTAATAATAATAGTACAATAGAAGAGATCTATTACCCTGTTGAATGTTTGAATTGTGGAACCAAAGTTGCTGTTATGGATGTAGAAGAAGTTTTTCATTTTTTTAATGTTATACCTTCTTAACTGGATCAAAAATATATTTTAAATTTATCTCAAAAGAGGGATTTAAGATGTATATACACTGTATATTTATTTATAAAAATAAAGCATTCTGCAGATGTAGGAGGGTGAGTTAAAAAATTATTTATTTATTTCTGCTCAACTATATCTTGACTTCTAGTATATAAAATTATAATATATATATATATATATATAGTATATAAATTATACATAAATATTTAAAAATTGCCTCAATCATAAATTTTTCCTTTTCAACTTATAAACTTCATGTTTTTCTAACAAATGAACATTTCTAGTATGATTTCTGAGATTTACACTATTTTTGTAAGCAAATGAAATCAAGGTTCTTATGATTATAAACAACAAGATTTACCATTAATACCATCACGTATTGTTGATTTAATATTATCTGAATCATATAAACAATTTGTTAGAATGATATAATGGATGTTGATGATCTTCAGTTATTAAATCACTTAATTGATTTTGATCAATCTTGAAAAAACCAAATTTTCAAGTACTTCAATCAAATATCCTGTATCCAACCAATTTTCCAGTTTCTTTAATTTTCATGATAATTATAGCCTTTTCAGTGTTATAACATCTATTATCACCTTAAGTCTCGGAAAATGTGTTTAACTTAACCAGAAATTAAAAGCTTTCATTTCTGAACTTGGTAATTTTCCATTTTCTGACCTTGGATATTTTAAAGAAGTTGCCAGTCATTTGTTGATAATAACGCGAAGGGATTCTTGGTATACTTGTTTATTAAGAACTTTTTCACAATGTCTAATCTTTTCATTAAATCATCTGTTGAAATTTAATTGAATTTTAACAGTGGGATTATTTCTTTTAACAAGTTTTCAATTTTTTTGCATTCATTCCATTTTTTTCATCCATTTGTCCGATACCACACTTAATGATGTAACCCCAAATTTCGACTTCGATTATTTTCAGATTAGCATTGACTTTTCTATAATTGTGTGGCCAATACTTTGGATGTTTTGATGAAATTTCATAAATGTGAATTAAATTTTGTTTTGTTGAATCCATCCATTCATTTTCTTTAATGATTAAATGAATGATTTTGTAAAATGTAATTCAAGAATTTCATCTGAACCCAGTTTACCTATTTTAACAGGCCCACATAAATCTATCTTTTAATAATAAAAATAAAAGCCTAAAATCATTGTATTTGATATATTATCTTTTAAATTTACATTCATTAAAAGAAATTTGAAGATATTTTCTTTTTCACAGACCTTGTTTTAAAATTTTTGATATCCATATCCATTTTAATTCTATATTGATATATAATTGATTATGACTAATATTAATATATATATTGTTTTACTTGATCAAAAACAACGACATCATGATAATAATAATTTTGACTAAAATAAATTAAAATAATAATAATGATCTAAATATTACATAACTCGAATGTTTTATTTATACATATATATAAATAGGCAAATAATTCAAAAATGAAAAATAAATAATAATTAAAAATGACAACACCTAAATTACCAGAACCAAAAAAAGGTTTTTTTGGTGGTATCAACGATGCTCAAAAAATAATTATACTTTCAATTTTTGTATTATTATTTGCAATTATTACAAGTGTTTATTATGTTGGATTGTATACAGTAATGAATTGGCTGTATGGTTGGATTCTGGATAAATTTGTTGATAAGGTCGATAAAGATGCTACTCAAATTAATGATAAAATCAAATATAATTAATGAATGGTAATTGTTATTATAAATATATTTATTAATATTAGTAATGATACATGCATAATAACTTAATTTCAATTAATATTCTAGTGTTCTATATATATTCAATTCTATAAAAATATAAAAATATATTTTTAAAAAAAGATTTTTTACAATTCTAAAAAACATCTTTGACATATTCCCCATTTTTTATCAAATGTTTTTGATTTTTATCTTCTAAAAATTTATAGTTTATTAATGTAATTATTTGATATTTCATAAATCAATAAATTAGCAACTTCATTTGCTAATAAAAATCTCGGGAATAATAATTTTCTTTATAGACTATTTCTTGAATTATTTTTCTTCGTAGTCATTACTCAAAATGACACTCAATTTGTATCCTGATCCATATTTATTTTTAAATCAATTGAAGTTCTCAATGCTTTGATTCTACCATTCAACATCACGCATATTTCAGCTTTTCCATAGAGTGAGTTGTCAAAACTATCACTTTATCTTTCTTAAAGCCGCTCAGACATTTCCAAATATGTCTTCTATTGGCAGGACCCATCCAATATTGTTGGTTCATCCATAAAAATTACTTCAGATTTCCTATTGTTGACATTAATTTTGTTAATCTACGCTTCATGCCTCCGTTAAAAGAACCAACTAGTATTTTACCATAAACTTTATTCAATTTCTATAACTACAACCTCTCGTTTATAACTTCAGTTTGTTCTAACTTCGATGAGTTTTTAATTCCAAAATACAATTCTAAATGTTCTTAAACTGTTAGGTCATCATAATGGACAAACACTGATAAAGTTCAAATCATTTCTCACGTTATAATAATAATTGTGCTATAGACGTAATAATGCACCTCCTCCACTTATTGATGTTGGACTTGATAACGTATTCATAAAAGTAATTTTACCTGCCCCGTTTTGTCCCGAGATTAAACAGTTATTTTTTTTTTTATCGATAAACAAAGTTTATCAACCGTTTTTGTATTTTTGTAAATACTAATTTTTGATTCGTAATCTAAATCGAAAACCAATCCTAAGGCTCCGAACGAATCAATGAAATTCGAACCAATTCGAATCCGAATTGTACTTTGATTCGAAAAGATTCGAATATATAATTTGATTCGAAAAGATTCGAATATATAATTTGATTCGAACGGATTTGAATATATAATTTGATACGATTCGAACTGATTTAATATATAATTTGATTTGAACTGATTTGATTTGATTCAAACTGACTGGTTCGAATCTATAATAATAACTGATTTGAATCCATGATTTGAATCAAATACACTATATAATAAATGAAAAATCTTTATTTTAATGTATATTTTATAATTTTATTTACAAAAATATTTTTTATTTTATATTTATTTATATAGTATAAATATTGTAAAATTCAAAAATAATTTTTACCTGGAGCAATAATTGCATCTCTTGTTGAAGAAATTGAAGAAGTTGAAGAAACATCAGTAATATTAATACTTATTATTTTAGATTTAATGAATTGTACAACTGTTAAATCGTTACCTTTTTACTCATTATTAATAATATAGGTCACACGACCATTAATATTAATATTAATATCAAGAAATCCGTTATTATTAAAAATTCGAATAAATATCATATCAAGAAGAATTTTATTATCATTAAACCATTCTTAGACTTCAATCATTAGTATTCATTAAATGGAAGCACACCAATTGAGATTCACTGTATAATATAAATTTAAATTATCAAATTAAAAATATAAATTTAATATGACGTTAAAAAAAATTTAGGAATCCAGTTTGATTCGAATCAATTCGAATCGAATCCTGTTTTTTTGAATTCGAATCGATTCGTTCGGAGTCTTATTCATGTATTTATATTCATGCCACCAATTTATTATTTATAGAAAATGTCAGATATATATATACAATATTATATAATGGTTGATAATTCATGGTCAAAGGTAAAATGTTGATCTGATTAAGTCAACGAAAAGTTAAAAACTAAATAATATATTAGATTATATAATGAAAAACCAAGCCTATGTATTAAAAACATTCAATAAAGAAATACTATATTAGCTTTTTTATTTATTATAAACATTTTATTTTTATCAATTCGAAACTAAATTTCCTTCCCTCAGATATTATTATTATTAAAATATTTTGTTTTTCAAATTTGCGTAACGATCTTCAAGCAATAAAATTTAATTTTTGCATGATATCTGGAAGGGAGATCGTCACAAAATTTGGACTGCCCCAATTAAAAATTAAGGCTGCAACATGTACATTGCGGACGTAACTTGATTATAATGTAGAATCCACCATGGAAAACATATTTTGTTCATGGATGTTAGCCGAAATTGGTTTTGCATTTCGGCAGGCGGTATTTCGGATTCTTTATCCAATTAATTCCGAACATAATTTCGAAATACAATATTAAAATTAATTTGGCTACTATGAAAATCGTTTATTAAGAAGTTTTATCTATGTGAAATGAAAATTGAATTTATTAAGGAGGATGGGATTAGCCCAGCTTCAGGGCTTATAGGTGGAGGAACATCGCAGAAGCTCGTTTGAAATAGAGGTCGTAATTTTTATATAATGTTTATTTGCTTAGATTCTGGATACCAGACTAAAATCAAGGATATGATTGAATGGAATATTGTATTCCAGGGAATTGAGTTCAACGTAGTAGTAGGATTATATTGCATGAGAATGTGCGGGTGATATCTTCAGGGAGTTGATTGTAATATAAAAATTTAAGTTGGTGGAGGTAAAAGGATAATAAATTTTCATATTGATAAACAAAATTTTATTGAATCTAATCAACCTACTTTTTGATATTAATTTATTACCATTTACCATTCAATTTTGACTCTTTCAAAGGAAACTTTCAATGATTCATTCACAATTATTATTAAAGTCTAATATTTATGTTCTGGATTAGTACAACTATAACAATAACCATGACAGAGATTCAAAATAATAAACAGCCAAGTAGAAATCCCTTACA